TTCAACGTGAGTTATCTAATTCAATAATTATCATTTTTTAAATTATTTTTAATAGATTTAATTTAATTTGTTAATTTATTAATATATATTTTAAAATTTAATAATTTATATAAATAATAATTAAAAATTTTTATATAAAATTTTTATTTAATAAACATTTTTAATATTTATTTATATATGTAATATATTAAAATTTTATTTAAAATTTATATTTAAAAAATCAAAAAATTATATTAAATTTATTAAAAAAGAAATGTTTTGTTAAAAAGATTTGAGATTCAAAGTTAAAAACATTGACTTCCAACCTCAATGGATTAGTGTTAACAAAAAAATAAAAAACAAAAATTAAGACATTTTAATATTAAAATAGTTAAAATATCTAATTATAACCACTATTATTTATTAGTATCATTTTGTAGTTTAACGTAGTCCGGCCTGCAAAAGCTTCACCTAATTCCGCTTTTCCTCCACACGCATTATTGTGTCGTGTGCCAGGCTGCCAGTCCCAACAGCAAGCAGACTTCCTCTGAACATAAACTCTTCCAAATCTATCTAGTATGAGAGTTATGCAGATGATTTCCTAGGCTTCATGTTCTATGGCGTCCTTTTCTTGTTCAGAGGTTCGTCTCCATTTCCTCTCAATCTTCTTCTTCTTCTTCTTTTCTTTCTTTCTTTTTTTCTAATTTTGTTGAAGTAGCATACAAGTTGTCGTCTTCTTCCTCTGCTACTGCTATTTTTTCTGCAAACGTTTTGGTCTATGTATTTAACATCTTTGGCGAAATCATGGTAATCTCTCGATTTTTTTTAGTCTTCGTGGAGTCGGTAATTTAGGAAATCTGTATTTTGTTTTGGCTAAGTTCGTTTTCTGTTTCCTTTTTACTTGTGCTGCTTTATGCTATTTTTGCTTTACCTAACAAGAACTGCTGAACTTTAAGTTGTCTGAAAAATAGTAAAAGATGAGTAGAGTGTGTGTTTGTAAATTTTTGTCTGAAATTGTGAATTTCAACAATGTGTATACAAATAGGCCAGTTTGTTTATGTTTTGATGTTCTTTGGTTGTTAGAGTTATCATTTTGTTGTTGCATGATATGAATATAATCTGGGGGTGTAGGAATTTGGTATGAATTTTTTCTCATCATCATGTTGCAAAATTTATTTGTAGTTATATTTGATTTTGTTGTACGAATGTTTCAGTGGTTACTTTCTTCTATTTTAGGATAGGAAAGAGCTTTGTGTTTGGCCGAGCTTGAGGCAATTTTGCCTTAGAAAGGGTATTGTCTATGGATTTATGCGCTTATTATCAAGACCCTTGAAGACCTTGCGTGGAGCTAGTCGGTCTCTTAGAATTGCAGAATTTTGCAGTGTTTCCAATGTGTCTTCGTCATTGCAAATTGAACTGGTAAATATGGTAATTTGAGGAGGGATCCATTTACACACAAGTCTTACATACTACACTTGCACAAAATTTTAGCCATTTATATCTCCACTTTCAATAGTTGAGATTTATTCATTTTTTATCATATTTATTAAAAATGATTATCTTTGACTTGTGTGTAAGTGGATCACTTCTCTAGTTATTTATATCTTATTTTTGTACATAGTTATATTATACATGATTGAGTAATCATCTTTGCTTTTGATCTATCATTACTATCATTTGTTAATAATTTGCCTTTTTTCCTCCATGTGGTCTCCTTACTTTGAACTACATATTTGTTAATTCATTGTGGTCAATGTGGAATATCTTGCCTTCATTATTCATATGGACTTGTGCGTTTACCTTTTTAGAATTCTGCTGTTCAATAACTTTGTGTAAGCTGTTACCAATTTTTCATTCAGTGGAAATTAACCTAGAGTTATTGGGAAAAATACCCATGTAAGATATAAACCTTGCCCTAACTGTTATTCGTTTCAGGTACCGTGTCTTAGGGATAACTATGCGTACCTTTTACATGATGTGGACACGGGCACTGTTGGAGTTGTTGATCCTTCTGAAGCCTTGCCAGTTATAGATGCTCTGAGTAGGAAAAATCGGAATTTGACTTACATACTTAATACTCATCACCATCACGACCATACTGGTGGGAATATGGATTTAAAAGCAAGGTATGGTGCTAAGGTATGTTCTCCTGATAATCTTCTTCTAGCCTTTTGAACTCATGTGAGATGATTATTTGCATATCAAATGGCCATAAACATGAAATCTCCATCTGCAGTCTAATCCTCTTGCATATTTCATCTACTGTTGGGAACAACTCATCTTTTACATTATTTTTCAATGAATGGTAATGTGGAATTCAAGCTGTGCTTGCAATTTTAGGTGCCAAAAAATGATTGTTCCCCTTTTAACCATTCCTAAATTATATCACATTTGTGGGTTGTTTACATTGTGGTAGACTCATAAGGGACAAGTGGAAAAACAGAAGATGTAAAGTTAATTTGTAGGAACCAGGATTCTTTAAGAAGTAATATTTGGAACAATTTAGGTGTTTGCCTGTAGAAATTTCAGGTTCTTAAAACTGTTAGTTTTTCTAACTTTTATGTTATTCTTTCTTGCCTTTAGGTGATTGGTTCAGCATTAGACAGGGACAGGATTCCAGGGATCGATATAGTTCTAAATGATGGGGACAAGTGGATGTTTGCAGGTCATGCGGTGCATGTCATTGAAACTCCTGGCCATACCCGAGGTTAGATTTTGTTACTGCCCTATATTACAAATTTTAGTGAATGAGCAACTTTCATTCACTTTCAGATTCAATAGATGAAAGCAGTTCTGCTTAACTGGCCAATTTTATTGGTGCATTTCATATTCTTGTAAGAATTCATGGGATATGATCATAATATTTAATTGAATTAAACATGTTTATTTGATGGGAGTTACATGTTCTGGTTCATTAAGAGATAAGAGTTTCGGTAACTAAATGGTGTATATTTTAACCTTATTGCAGGTTCTACACTTTTTTCTTATTCCTTCATGCTAACTTCCATTGTGAGCAGGGCACATTAGCTTCTACTTTCCTAGTTCTGGAGCTATTTTCACTGGAGACACTTTATTCAGCTTATCATGTGGCAAGCTTTTTGAAGGAACCCCTGAACAGGTAAATTTTACTTGTTTGGTGGGGAAACTCTGGTGTCTGCAAAAGATAATTTCTATTTTATTTGATCTACTAGTGATGAAAATTATCATCTATGAAATGCAAGGGTCAGGGAAGAATAGGAGGAAATCTTTGTGTGTAAACCCTTTTTTTTATTATCAAAGAATGCTTTATTTGATTATGTTATAGATGGAGGTTTGTTGAAAGAATGAGCTTCTTGTTCTATCATTAGGATGTAGTGTTTCCCCATCAATTTCTTCCACCAGAAATGTGGTGATGATATGTTAACTGAAATTATCCACTCAAGGATGATCAATAAACTAAAAATCTGTTGAATAAATGTATGTTTAAGTGTTAGATTGTGCGATCCTGTCCTCTAAGCTGGTAAATTGACTAATCTTTTGTCCTTGGTCTCTTATTTGTAACATATCTTAAAATCTGAATATCTGTCCTGCAGATGATTTCTTCCCTAAAAAAGATTGTGTCTTTGCCAGATGATACAAATATATATTGTGGTCACGAGTACACATTGGTTAGTCATATATTTCTGCCATTTGTTTCCCCATCTATTCAGAGTCATTGAGGGTTTAGCAACGAATACCCATTTTGACAGGGTAACTTGAAGTTTGCATTATCCATAGAACCCAAGAATGAGGCACTCCAGTCATATGCAGCCCATGTAGCCCACGTTCATGGCAAGGGCTTACCTATGGTACCTTCTTTTACATTCTTGCTTTAGTAACTAACTTTCATATTCCATTTTAGAGCCTTGGATTTTCAAGTTATATCTTGTAGTGAATCATTATTGGAAAATTTTGACAACTTCTTGGATTAAATCAATAAATCTGATTTCTTTGACTGATCCAGGGGCATTTGCCAGTGGCCTCCATTTCCTTCGTGCCAGTTGATTGTTTTTTGATTTTGGAGTTTATTTCTTATTGATTACCTGGCTTTCAGTTATCCTACATACAGTTGTTGTGTTTCTCCTTTCTTCCATTATTTTTAGATATTATGGCAGGGTTAATTCATAGACATCTCTGTTAAGATAGTGTTAGTTTAGTAGTTCTCCTTTCTCAGTCGGTCTCCCTGGATGTGGGGCTTTGTCTGGTTTCAGATAAAGCCCAGAAAGTATTAAATGGATTAGAGTGTGATTTCAGGGTTGTATATGGTGTGAGTAGACTTTGCTTAACCCACATTGAGTTGATCTCAGGTTAGCTCGTTGCATGCATCTGAGTTTCAGCATATTTTGGAACTCAATGTTTTTGTTAATAGCTCAAGTGAGGCCGTTTGAGTTGAGCACCATCTTTCTTCCTTCATGTGGCATTCACGATCACCTGACCAGATTATTTCTTCAATAGTTCATTTGATTTTGCATTGTTTGGAACTAAAGGATGATTGAGTTGAGAATTCGTTTGGTTTTCATCTGTAATAAATGTCCCCATCCTTTCATTTCATGTCATCATATTTCAATGTGAAATTCCCTGAGTTTGACTGCTATACTATTTTACCAGATTCCAACTACACTAAAGATAGAGAAGTCATGTAATCCATTCCTTCGCACTTCTAGTGCAGAGATCAGACAGACATTAGATATTCCAGTCACAGCAGATGATGCGGAAGCGTTGGGCATCATCCGCCATGCAAAGGATAATTTCTGAGATCAGTTACAACTAAAGCCCTGTTTGTGGTTTATAAGAGAGGTGAGCCCTTCCATCTGTGGAATAAGTACCACCAATCTTTATTCAAAAAAAAGTACCACCAATCATGTCACCACATATATATATTTTTAAAAGCGCAAGGTTCTTTTGAAATCTTCGTACATCTTAAAAGCAATCAAGAGAAATATTCTCTTGGCTCTACATTGACCTGTAGAATCTTTTTGTATAATTTGGAGAAATTCGAAATTCAATATGAGATGTATCTGGTGTTTTGCAATCCAAATTTGAAAACTACTAGCCATTGGATAGAGGTACCCTTCTTAATATCAACAACTCTCACAATCTAGACTGTAAAACACCTTCTTTGATTGATTATACAGCCTTTTGTTTATGTTCCATTCCATGTAACCATGTTGCATGTGGCGTTACCCCTTCTTATTTGCCATGGGTTGGGCCTAAAGCCTGCCTAAATTGGCTCAGACCTGTTGGCTGTTATATAGATACGAAGTTATGTTATTTTCTGATACTAAACTTACAGGCAGCGTGAACCCTAAACCTAGGAGAAATTAGCAACAGACGCCATGGAATCCCTTTGGAAACCACCAATCCTTCTCCGCAACCTTTCAGCACCGGTATATCTAACTCCATTGAAACCACCCACCAATCCCTTTGGTCAAGGATTATTTTGAGTTTCTCCTTGAATTCATTGATTATTTTGAAATTGGTGATGATATCAACAAAATTACAACAGCATGGGGAGTGAAGTGTTTGCGATTCAAATTCAATTTCCATCAGGGCAAGGGGAAGAAGTGGTTGACATGCCAGGATCTGATGGTGTTCCTTGATTGTCGTATTTCCAAAGTTGATATGCTGAAGGTGAAGAGATTGCTTAAGCTGTGTAAGCAGAAAGCGGACCTAATGGCCACAATTATTGAAATGTTAAGGGATCATTATAAAAGAAAGTAAAGGCAATAAGATAGTAGAGCAGTACAATGGTGACTCCTAGCAAAGAAAGAACCAATCTTCAGCAATTGGTGCACACTGGAGACGTCTTTCTTTAAAGGACTAGTAGATATGTTAAATAATTCAGACTCTCTCAATATGGTGCAGCAGATTTCATTGTTAATATTGCTATTTCTGTTAGGAGATAATAAATAGTTAAATAATTTGGACTCTCTATATATATATATATATATGTTTCTTTATTCTTGATTGCATTAGTATTTACTATTTAGTGCAAGCGTTTTTCTTTTATAGCTAGCTAGGTGATAGAACTTTCGAATTTGAGATACTTTGTATGGTTGATTTAGTGAATTTGATGCTCAAAATAAATATCCTTAATATAGTAAAGCTGTTGGTGTTGGCCTCTTCATGACTATGCTTAGACAGCTTTACATGCTTTCTATGTTAGAGCAAGGGATGGGGTTGTGGAACTGAGATGACCTCGTAAACCCTGGTTTTCCCTAATTTTTTAACATACCAAGTTTGTTCATGAAAATTTTTTAGCTGGCTCAAAGAAAATGCTATGATGATCCAAATGATTGTGTCATGTGTGTGTATCATGCGAAAAATAATCCGCTATGCAATGCTGCCATATGCGAAAAATAATCTGTATTTTCTTTGGCTAAAGGATTGCTGTTGACGTTTTGAGTATAGTCCGGTGTAGGTTGATCACTTGATTGAGCTATGGCCTGCATTTTAAAGAACAAAGGGAAGCAAATTTCCCTCAACCTTCTAATGATAAGTGTGTTGACTTCTCTCATTCTCCAAATTACGCATCAAGCTGTACATAGACAGTCAAATACAATACTTGTATATGTATGGATGAGTTCGCCCGTGGAAGACAGTGAATGCAGAGTAATTGGTTACAAGAATTTTGGTTTTTTGCAATATCATTGGAAGGCACAAAATATATGATTAGAATTAAAAACTAATTTTTAACTGTACATTTGTTCGAATTCTAAGGTTGTGCTAATATTCCAGAGATCTTCGAAGAAAAGCCAAAAAATCGGCTATATGACAATTTAAGAGCAGGGTCCATAAATATGCAAGTCCCTTCCTTCAATGTGCTAACTCCGCTTTGTTTCAGGGAAAAAATGTTCAGTGCTGGGACTTTTAGATTGGAACCTTCAGTTACTGATTCCTAAGAACCTTTCTATTTCCTCAAAAACCCTCTGGTGACCTTGCATATATGAAATCTAAATGTGGGCATGCTATTTATTTTGTTGAAAGTAAGAAATGAAGATTTTCCCAATGACCTTTTCTTTCCTTAGGATCGACCTCTTTACAGATGGTGGGAAGAAAAATTAAAATCCGCACCTACAAACGATTGCAAGAAGGAGGAATGCGTTCTTGTAAAATGGGTTACAAAATTTGCCTTGGCCAACTTCAGAGACTAAAATACTATCGTGAACTAAAGTTATCAAATCTTAATTAAACTAAACAGCATGCAACTTAAAATAAATTTACGAGAACAAGATGTACCCAAATTAAATTAAACATGTTAATTGTTAAATTAAAATGCTATCTACTGACAGATCTGAAAATTAAACTGCTGCAGAATTGAAGACTTTACCCTAATTAAAATTAAAATAAACATGAAAGGAATTAAACTAACAAGTTTGAAGTTGAGAAGAAGCGTGAACGTTATATAAGTAATTATTGAAAAAATGCTACTTATTATAAACAATAAATTAATTGTAGGCAGAAAAGAAATAGTATCTTGAATAAATTTGAAAGATTGGAGTTCATTACATGAAACAAAATTGTTGAAGCGAACACATGAATTAATTTGTTTACTGGAATGATGAAAAAACAACCTAAATCTATTGGAAATTATGCTGAAATCCGAAATCTAGAAACAATTATAGAGAAAATGAAAATTTGAAAATTTGCAAGTGTTTGAGTAGGGCTGACCGTGTGTTCACCCTCCCAAAATTTCTTTTTTATTCTCCTTTTACCAGTAGTAACTCCCCACTTTTGTAGTTACAAAATTGTGGGTGGTTTTTTGAGGTAGTGGGATAATTTAACAATTGATTTAATCAAATCTCTTTCTAGATTTTCTTCACATGTGCCCTTATCTGATAACTTCCTTATATAATTGCAATTTCCTGTTAAATTCAGTTAAAACAGTTTTTTTTTTAATTTAAACAAGCAATTACATGATAAAATCTTATCTTTATCTCTCTTTTTTGTCAATGTAGTAGCTGATCTGCCATAAAGCTCAGAATAACAAATCTGACATAGTGAAATCTCCTCCATCCATTAGAAATTTTTAACACGTGACATGATTTTAAATTTTTACAATTTATAAATTTTTACAATTTATGGTGTAAACACTTTCTTCTTCTAAGGAAGTTGTGATAGGGAATGTAGTCCCAGGGGTTGGAACCCACGGGCTAGTAGTGACCAATTGCTTTGCGGCCCATGTAATTTTATGTTGTTCAAGAACCTACTTGGTGGCTTCAAGTTTAAGATTAATAATCAGCAAGAGATCAGCAGATAGGTGAACATATAACTGGCAGAATGCCACTTTGACAACAACATTTTTTTTTTTTTTTTGGGACTTGAATAATGACATCATGCCATCATACCACAACACAAGAAATGGAAAATGGACGAACGCAAGTTCGGCTCAAATAGAAATTCTAATCAAAGCCCATAAAAGGCTTAAAGCCTATTATAGTTCCTCTACTTTCAATTTTAGTTCATTGTCATCCTTGCACTTGCATTTCGTTCAAAGTTCTCTCTCTACTCTTGCAAACTATACCATTGTCCTTCCTCTACTTTAACTTTTCATTACATTTACCTCCCTCCCCTAACACCATACCAACATCGTTTATAACTCTCATCTCACATAAATATCTTGGAGCGTTAATTGTGCTAGTTTTTTTTTTTTAATTGTGTTTGTTGGTCCCACAAAACGAGGGAAAAAACTTAAAATCTATTAATTTAACAAGTATATACTAATTAATAATTAATTTCAATATTCTTTAATTTTCAATGCACACAATCATTTAAATAAAACCTCAATTTTTGTATTTTTATCTGTCTTTTCTCTTGACAATCATTAAAGCGATCTTATTGTCACATTTTATTAGTGTTAATTTCACATTAAATTATTCTTTTTAATATATTTTTTTATCTTAAGCTGCACAATAAAAATTAACTTGTTCTCATCTCTTAAGTCACCTTACTTCCGTATCACATGACTCAAGCTTTAGATTTCTTAATTCTAATAAAAAACATATGCTATTGAATTATTTAAATTCGTTATTTTTTCATTGACATTTTTAATTTATCAATATAATTGAAAGTAATGATGGTTTCAGGAAAGCTAAAATAATTTCCTTTTCGTAACTCTTTTAGTTAATCATTTCGCCAGTTAAAAACAAAAAAGTTCAATCAAATATGAAAACAAACTTTCAGCCCATAAATTGGATAGCCCAAATGCATTAAACCGCAGCTTACCCTGAGATCTGCAAAGAAAAGAAACCATAAACCGAGTTAGAATGTCAAAGAATAACAAGGAAATAGGAAGAAAGAATACTTGATCTAGCAAGAAACATGAGATGCTATTGAGGCCCTAAACTAAACACAATAATATGACCAAACCGTCTGTGTTTTTACTTGCCTTGAAAAGAAGTGGTACTAATGAATGATATTTGAAGAATTATGTTCCTTCATCAAATCTTAATCTTGAATTTCATATGCCTATTCATTAAATGGTATAGTGAAGGAAACAAGAGTCAAAGTTCCTTCTATAAATTTATTTCAGTGCAACAGCAACCACCTACCTCCTAGAGAAACTAATAGTGGCACAGAATCAACAGTAAACCATGGACTTAGTATTTGCAGACATCTCAATATCATTGAATCATCATGTTTGAATGTTAACAAGAAGCTTTTAATCCATCATATAAAGGCCTATAGATGCATAGAAGTTTTTAAGAACACCAATTTCCCAATGTGAAGAAAAAGATGTACCAATAGTACTAATTACACTTAAACAATCAACGAAGAAAACTATAAATACTCACCTTTCATTTTCCTGAGAATGGGGCCTAAAACGGGCCTCACGATTTCCCACTTGAGGGCTGCCTCTTGGCCGGAGCATCCTTTTACGCTGCTGGACTCCATAATTAAAAGCATCTCTATCGCTTTCATTAGCCCCTTCAGCACCTGCACTTCCATCGTCAGATTCTTTTTCATAGCCCCTACTGCACTTTTCAGATCTGTCTCCTTCTGTGTCAACATCTCTTCCCCGTCTCTTCTCTTTAGCTTCTCCATCAACATTTTTCCAGTTATCCAGCTCTTTTTGCTTTCTCTGCTCAGATGTGGTATTTTCCTGCTCCGGTGTTCTGACAGATCCATCTCCCAATTCCTTTTCATTGTGTGATCCATCTTTCTCTATTCCATTCAATGGTTCTCTCTTTACATGATCCTTTTCCTTCTCCTTTAGCCTTCCCTTGTCCTTCAAATCCTTCGGCTCTCTTTCCCATCTCTCAGTTTCTCTCTCCTCTCTAGCAGATTCTTTCCCTTCCCCACTGCCATTACCTGCTGCATGCTGTAACTCCTACGTTCACTTCTTTCCTTATCTCTATCTCCCCAATCATGATGTTTCATTTCTTTTCTTTTACTTTCCTTGTCCTTAAACCTATCCTCACCTTTTGGATCAAATTTATTCTCACCAACAGCCTCATGTGTCTCCACATGACCCCTTTCTTCTGTAGCGAAACCTTCCTTTACGGTTTCAATTTGCACTTGTGTATTATCACATGGCATTTGCCATGGATCCACACCTCCCCCTGGGGCTTCTGGATGCCTTTTTCCTCTATGGTACTCTCTTGATTCCTTCCAACCCAAGTGACCGCTAGACCCACCATAACCATCCTTTTCCACCTTCATGTCACCCTTTGGATCACTAGAGTTCTCCCTATCGTACTTCAATTCCTTACCATCTTCTCCTCTACTCTCAAACCTAACCTCCTTCTCACCTTTTCCACTTTGATACTCCTTCTTTGCTGCCTCACCATGAAATTCCCTTGATTCTGCCCTAGGCTCCCGGCTCTCAACCCTAACCTCTCGATTTTCCTTGGAATCTCGTGATTCTATCCTGCTTTCTGAACCACTGGGATGGGAATCCATATGTGAATCATTCGAAGCAGATGAAGGAATTCGATAATTTGAATGAAGAGGAGACCTTCTATCTGAATCACGGGATTCGGTACGAGGAATCTTGGCTGTTCTACCATCTTGACCCACCTCATAGGCTGTTGACACACTGAAGCAGCAGTATCGCTTTATACCTGCTGAGTACAAGGTTTCTTCTCTTCTCAGCATTGAATTTATTTCAAAATTTTTGCTGTTATATGGATAATTATGCACGTAAACTATCATGGCTGGTGATTCATGATTGGTTTCAGGACCAATTCAACTAACTTGAACCTTAGTTTCAAACTAGTTGGGATCAGCAGCGTGAATCATTTTTCCCATTCCGGTTGATCAAGGGTTATGTCGCACTGATAATTTGATACCGATACAAGATTTAACTTAATTGGCATTAACGAGAACCTTTTGGTGATATACTGAGCTTAAACGGGATCTTTTAATCATGGTTCCCCTGAAGGTCATTGAGTACGGAAAAGGTAGATGATTTTGGAAAAGCACACATATATTTGTCATAAGAAGGTTTCTTAACATTCTTTATGTGCTTTTTGTTAGCAAGTATAATAAACATGTGATTCGAACGGTCCGTTCTGGTCCATTGGATCTTGGTTTAGAACTGTTTACCTTTCCTTCCCTCCATTCCTATGGGTTCTATGTTCAAACCTCACGAAACCCTCTTCCTTCCCTCCAATCAACCTGTAAATAATTATAATATGTAAAAAAAAAAAAAAAAAGAAGCACGTGATTCATTTTGAGTTTTTAATTTTAAATGTCCAGCAAAAAGTGACTCTGGCAGTTAATTCGAAATGATTGTTTGCTGTTCTCTTTTTTTTTTTTCTTCCCCAAAAGAAAATATTGCAAGTGATAGGACTTTTATTCATAGCTTCATTCTTTGTATTTCTAGGCCATTTGTTGGTGCCTCCTTTTTTATGCTTATGAACATCTTATCTTCTTTCAGGATTGCTATCTGGTATATATTTTGACTGAGATGTCTGGGTGTACATCAATGGTTTTCACTCGAACATGTGATGCGACTCGCCTTCTGGCTTTGATTCTTCGGAATCTTAATATTAGAGCCATCCCCATTAGTGGCCAAATGACTCAGGTATGTTACACAAATTCTGATTTTTTAAGCAGATCTGAAGCCTATTCTCTTCCTTCCCACCATCCTTTTTATACTGCCTTAAAATATATTTGCTATTCATTAACGGAACATAATTGACAGTCAAAGAGACTTGGAGCCTTAAATAAGTTCATGTCTGGGGAATGTAAGGTTCCTGTCTGCACTGATGTGGCAAGTAGAGGACTTGATATTCCATCTGTGGATATGGTTATTAATTATGATATCCCTACAAACTCCATGGTAAGGCATAAGGCTTTCTATATCTTATTTTATTTTACTAACCGTTATTTTAAATTATTTGAGCCATTCATGCATTTCTGCTAAGCATTTAGCTAAGATGAGCCTTAAATATAATATGTCCATTAAAGTATGCAAATGTTTCTGGTTCTTTGGCTTAATCCACTGTCTCTCTTGCACTGACTCCGAATGGGCAACAGGATTATATTCATCGAGTAGGAAGAACTGCTCGTGCAGGGCGATCAGGTGTTGCAATATCACTCGTAAATCAGTGTAAGCTGGAGGGGTATATACAGATAGAGAAGCTCATTGGTATGTCATTCATGCTATATTTGCTTCAGGGTTGCACAGAAGTATCTTGCAAGATGCTTACATATCTAATTATATTCCAGGAAAAAAGTTACCCGAGTATCCTGCACAAGAAGAGGAAGTGCTGTTATTACTTGAAAGCGTCACAGAAGCCAAAAGATTATCACAGATGGTATTTCCTAATTTGAGTATACTTTAGCTTTATTTAATTTGGTTTTTATATTTTATGAAAAACTGAGACTGACAAATATGAAACATATGCAGAGAATGAAGGAAAGTGGAGGCAAGAAGAGGAGAAAGGGTGGAGGTGATGATGAGGAAGATGTGGAGAGATCTTTAGGTGTCACGGCTAAGAAGTTCACAAAGAAGATGAAAAAAAAATGACATAAATTGTTGTCACTGCAAATTTTGTGTTACATATTTCTGTAATGTCTAATTTATTATTGCCCGTGGAATCCTGTTGTAGAGTCAGCTAGGATCAACATTACCTTCCATCTAATTATTTTCTTATTGTTGGATTATCCTTTGGATTCTGGGTACAGCGTAAACGATCTTGCTTCCATATTCTACATTTCTACTTATTCTCGGTTAGGGAAAAATGCTACTTTCACTACTACTTAAATGATTCACCTTACAAAATTAGTAGGTTTTAACCCATAACCTTATAATATGACACATTTTATCATTTATCTTACAAAGTTGATAAATTTTAACCCCTCACTTTACAAAGTTAATAGGTTTTAGCCATTCACTTTATATTATAACACTTTTAACCTTTTATCTGTATAAATTGAAGAAAATAACTCTTATTTAACATTAAATTATAATGTTTTATTAGTTTTGTTAGTTGAATGTCAGTTCTATTAACTAACTGTCAGTTCTGTTAGTTGACTGTTGGCACCATTAGCATTCCATTAATAGAACTAACAAATAAAATTGAATTTAAATTTCATGTTTTTTGTAACAGAATGTTAACGGATGTTAACAGTCAACTAACAGAACTAACAGAACATTATAACCTGATATTAGTTTAGGATTATTTTTTTTAATTCATATCGGTGAGGGGCTAAAAATGTCATAATAAAGGGTAAAGGATTAAAACTTACCAACTTCGTAAGGTGAGGGGTTAAAACTTACCAACTTTATAAGATAAAGAATTAAAACTATAATGTTATAAGGTAATGGGTTAAAACTTAACAATTTTATAAGGTGAGGGGCTAAATGTTGGTTTTTGCCCAAAAGCATTGGTAGAGTTATTGTAACACTTTTTTTTTTTTTTTTTTTTTTTTTTTTCTTCTTTTTTCCGTTTCTTCTTCTTTTCTTTCTTTCTTTTTTTCTAATTTTGTTGAAGTAGCATACAAGTTGTCGTCTTCTTCCTCTGCTACTGCTATTTTTTCTGCAA